TTATATAAAAAATCATTGTATGACAATGGTTGCATCTCATATTTGTGGGGGAAGGTTGGATTCATTATACAACAAATGATGCTAAGAAAACTGTTTTAAATATTTTTTGTGGTAGAAGGGCAATGAAACTTGACCATTTGCTCACACCAAAATGAAATCTGGATGGATTAAAGACTTAAATGTAAAAGATAAAACTATAAAAGCACTAGAAAAAAATAGATGAATATATTATCATGAGTGTGAGGAGGGCTTTCTTACCTAGAGATTATAAAGGAAAGGATTCACTTGTTTGTGGTGTTTCTGTAGTTTTTTAATACATAAACTCTAATGTTTTGAAATAAACTAATACATACAAATGGCTTAAAAAATCAAATACTAAAGAGGTTATAATGATAAGTAATTGGTTCTCTGCCTGCCCTTCCTATTTCTAAGGCTTAATTTCAGGTGCTTCCTTATATATCTGTAGTAATTTGCTGATAAGATATTCATTTATATTTTCAATAGCTATTCTTAGTGCCTATCAAGTGCTAAAATATAGCTCACTTGCACCACTTTCATCTCCCATCTTCTTCTTAACAGAATACCACTTTAGTCATTCTGCTAGTTACCTTTGCAGCTTTAAATATACTTATCACCTTTAAATCTTGTTCCACAACTATTGGGTTGTCGGAAGTCATGACGCATTTTTTCTGTTTTTTATTGCAAAAATGCGTCTTGACTTTTCCAACAACTCAATATATATATCTAGCTTCTAAACTCAGATATTAGCATCCTTATACTTCCCTTCACTTATGGTCCTCCCTTTATTTCTCAACTTCTGTCATCTATTCTCTTTAACAAAATTGACAGCATTTATAGCTTGTTATATAACCTTAATTGAATCATTTGTGTTTTGTCTGTGTAGCTTGATTCTAAGAGTTTATAAATCAATAAGTTATTATAAGGCTTTTTTTTTTTAAAGCTTTTGTTTGTTTTCCTCTGTTTCCTTTAGGGTCATATTTTTCTTTAAGTTCTCTCAAACTGCAGGCTTCCCTACGATGTCTGTAATTGTTGGTCATCTATCATTTCAGAGCAAAAACCTCATTAGGAGCTTGAATGTGTGGGTGTGCTTGTTATCTGGTGGGATCAGATCTACTAGGTTCCTTAGGTGTGGAGGAGGCTATTGTGCCAGGGGATCCTTGAATGCCAGAAGGCAGAGGCCTTTGCTTGATAACCATTTAATTTCCTCACAGAGAAATCTACTATTTTAGAGGGTAGTAGACACCTGGTACTCTGAACATGGAGGTATGGGGAGTAGACTGCTTTGTATCCTGACTTTCCAGCCCATTTCACTAATGGTGCCTGGACCCCACCCTCTGAGAGTGATTTAGTTGGCCTGGGTTTTGGTGAGGCCTATATATCACAATTTTTAAAAAGCTCCCCAAATGATTCTCCCCTACAACCTGGGTTGAGAGCCACAGTACAAAATAAATGTATTGGGCATGAAAGAATAAGGGGGCTCAGAGAGTGGAAGGTTTTAATCAGAGGTGAAATATTACAGTAGTATATATGGTTCCAAGGGATAGGAGGTCCGGGATATGCTCAAAGTGGATGACTGATGAATAGTAGAAATGAAAGTCACAGTTAAGGAACCAGGAAGCAAGGGTAGTAAGGGACATCCAGATGAACTTTTGAATTTACCCCAAATAAGGTTAGGTCATAAGGCGATAAGGAAGACAATGACACAATAAACACTGAAAAGCAACCAGGAGGTGAACAGATGAGAAATGACAATATGTGAGCATATCTTTCTACACAACAGTAGAAAGATACTATCTGGATCCCACTTCCCTACTCCCTGGATAGTCATGAGGAAGAAAATGAAAAGAAACTTTCTACTATAGAAGTGGTGCGTTTGGGTTACACCACATGTTGCTGGAATATTGAAAAATTTCAAATGTTTATAACTTGGAATATAAAAAGTTACAGAAACTCTAAAGACAGAGAAGAGGAAGTTAGATTTTCAGTTCATGTTTATATTTACCTTCATTTCCAGATATATAACGGATGCTCTCCAAGGCCAGTTCCTTAAGGCCTTTCAACAGTTTTCTCTATTTCACGTTTAGAATCCTAGCCCTAATGAAGCATTCATTGATCCATTTAGGTGTCATGCCTTGTCCAAAATCACTGGTGTGGGTCTAAAGCAGCCATGACAGCCCCTCCCATCAGCAGTGGTTTACAGTTTACAAGTCACTTTCACAATCACCATTTAACTTGATTCTCATACAACTCAATTCAGCAGAGCAGATGTCATTTTTATTTTACACAACAGGAAACTAAGAATCAAGGAGTTTGAGTTTTCCAAGGTCACACAAAAAGAAATGACAGAGCTGCTACTTAACCTGGATTTTTCTGACCTTGAATCCATTTCCCTCCCTACACAACCATGCTATCTCTTGTAACCTTTGGCATTTGTATCAAAGTTAACCTTTGCATTTGTATTAGGTCTTACTCAACAGATTACTTACTGCAAGACAGCTTTGCCATTTATAACAAATAGTTATTATGAAAGGACCAATAATGACCTCTTAAAAAAGTCATCACTAATTGTGTTTCTCATTCATTAACTAAATATGATTGTTTTACTATTAAATAGGTGATAAAAAAAAACTTACTTACCTGATTCTCGTTTTCTTTACTTGCTTCCTGTTCAAGGTGGGCTTTCAAGGCTTTTAACAACTTGTCTGCCTACAGAAAAGTTAAAGATCTTAGCAGAAAAGTAAAAAATCAAATAAGCAAGACAGATATATTGAACATTTTCTCCTGTTCTTATATTCATTGAAAGGCCTTTGGGCAGGCTCTGGGAATAGGATGATGACCAAGTTAGATCTGGTCCCTACCTTCACAGATTTCACAGCAGAGTGGTTAAGTCAGACAAGGAAAGAGGCGATGACAATGCAGTGGATTCAGTGCCAACATGAGGAAGCTCAGGCTATTGTGAGAGAACATAACTGGACTTGGCCACCAGTCTGTCCCACTAGGGTAAACTTCAGAAGGTAACTGGACACACCAGTTCTAAGATAAAGACGTGATGATTCTAGCTGCTGAGGTCTGAAGGACGAATAGGAGAGGGTGCAATGCAGGGAAGGGGTAAAGAAATAGCATGGGAAAGCAAGAATGAGAGTGGATTTTGAAGAACAGAAGTTCAGTGTGACTGGAGTATGGAGCTGTTGGAGGAAATGGTGAGGGAAAATGCTGGGAAAGTGGGCAGGGGTCTGATCCTACAAGGCCTTGTAAGCCTCTTAAGAGTATAAAGTTTACTCTCAAGATAAAGGGCAGTCTCTGAAGAGTCTGCAGCAGAGCAGTGGGTGGTCAGTTTTGCATTACTCAGGATGATCACTGGCTGAACAATGTGCAGGATGCATGTGATGTGGGTAAGATGGAAGACAGGGAAACAGTTAGGAGGCTGTTGTAGGAAACCAGGGATGACTGGCCTGAGCTAAAACAGGGCTGAGGCAATAGAGATGGATTTGAAACATTCCTAGGAAGTAAAAATCAGCATAAATATGGGGGTTGAGGAATAGTAGAAACTTCATTATACCCGGATTTCTGGCTTGGGCAGCTGGTGGAGTGTGGTGGGGGGTCCCTAAGATGGGGAATGGCAAAGATGGGGCAGTCTTAGAGAGGAGGATGGTTACAGGTTCCTGGCATAAGGCAAGTCCTAGTTTCTCTTCCTACCCCAGGAAACTTGACCTTCTTATTCCTTCCTGAAAGAGAAATATTAACCTGATTGGTAATATTTTCCTATGCTTAAAGGGTCAAGCATATTGGTTGGGAACCGAGTTAGGATGATCAGGAAAGGCCTGTCAGAGGTGGTGACTTTTGAGCTGAGGTGTGAACGAGAAGAGGCAGCAGATGAAGATGTGAGGAAGGAGCATTCCAAGCCAAGAGACACCAAGCCCAAAGGCCCTGATATGAGTTGGTGAATGTGAAGGACAGAAAGAAGCCACAGGTGAACACCGGGGCAGGTGGAGGGCAGGGAGATCAGAGGTGACCAGAGCCTGGGCCAGTACAGAGTCACAGGTCACAGTGAGCAGTATGGGTTTCTTCCTCTTAAACTTATTATAAAAAAATGTCAAGTCTATAGGAAAGTTGAAATGGTTTAGTAAACGCTCTTATACTCCCCGCCTAGATTCAACAATCATTCATATTGTCTCATATTTGCCCTCTCTATAATTAATATATATTTCTTGCCAAACTATTTGAAAATAAGTTCCAGACATCATGAAACTTTACCGCTAAATACATCAGCCACATCTCCTAAAAACAAAGGGATATTTTCTTATATAACCTCTATGTATTATCATACCTAGGAAAAATATTAATTTCCTAATATCCTCTGTATGACACCTAGCCCATAATTTTCCCTCAACTGTCTCCAATGTTAGCTGTTTTTGTTTTTTTGTTGTTGTTGTTGTTTTTTTGGGTTTTTTTAGAGGGGGGCGTCACTGGCCCTCACATGTGGGATCCGAACCGGGGCCCTCTGGCATCCCAAGCCAGTTCTTAACCCTCGCGCCACTCAGCTGGCCCAGCTATTTTCTTTTTAAAAAATTTTCCTCCAAATCAGGATCATGCCAAGTTTTTCATATTACTTTTGGAGGAGTTTGGATTTTATTTTAGGTGTAAGGAAAGTCATTGGAAGGCACTGAGCAGAAAAAAATGACACATTCTAAATTTCAAGTATCACCCGACTACCAAGAGAATACTATTGTGAGGCAAGAGTGGTGGCAAGGAGAGCAACAGACAGGCTGAAGCAGTCAGTGGTCAGAGGATGAAGGTGCTGTGGTCCAGGCCTGCAGCACTGGAGATGGTGCACAGAGGTCAGATTTCAAGTGTACTTGGGAGGAAAAGCTGACCAGGATGGATGGGTGTGGGCGGTGAAAGGAGGAACAAGAGTGATCTAAAGTGCATTTGAACTATTTACCGAGACTGGGAAGAGATCTTAATTGTTTTGAACTGACCATGCTATTTAAGATGCACTTAAATACACAAGTCAGAGGCTCAAGAGAGAGGTCCCACTGCAGAGATAGATCTGGGAGTCATTAGTCTTAGAGGAATTTAAAGTTATGAGAATGGATAAGCTCACCAAGGAAGGAATCAGTTAGAGAAAAAGCCAAGGAGAGAACAACTCTGGGGCACTCCACATTTAGAGATTTGGCAGAGGAAAAGAACCAGCAAGGGAGCCTAGAAAAAAGTGCTAGTAAGGCAGAAGAAAATGAAATATGAAAGAAGTCTAGAAAAGAAAGTGGTGTGAGAAGGAAGTGTTAAGTCATGCGAAATGCTGCTAACAGGCAGGTAAGGATAGAGATGAACCACAAGCTTTGTAAGATGCAGGGCATGGTGGCCTCGATAAGAGTGGTTTCAGTGGAAAAGAACAGAGAAATTGGACAGACGAAAGATGTGGGGTCAGGACAGGGTTTTTGTTTTCTTTTTTTTACAGATGGGTGATATGAAGACTTGAGTGCATGTATACGGCAATGAGCCAGCAGAGAGGGAGAAATTGATGTAGGAGAGAAGATAATTGCAGGAATATAGCTAACAGTAGAGGAGGCAACAGGTTTCCAGGCACAAATGATAAGGCTGCCCTTTTATTATAATAGGAGGGAGGCAGAGTAGGCAGGGACAGGTGCAGGCTGTCTGGAGGGTTTGGTGGTAAAAAGATGAGTAATTCTCAGCTGATTCCATCTATTTTTCCATGACCTATGAAGAAAAGTCATCAAGTGAGGTAAGGGAACCAATCTGAGGTGAGAAGATGTGAAATAATTGTCCTCAACTATGGGAAAGTTAAATGACTACCAAGGAAGTGTAGTAGAATCAAATGCTCCTTTGATGATTTATAGTCATGAACTTAAATTATGTTCAACAAACTCAGGTGATTTTCTCCAACCAGGATCAGCTGGTAAGGCACGGCAAAGATTAAGCACATAGTTGGGTTTAATCAGGCTTAGAGTTTTGCCAGGTGAGGGAGGGGAGCTTCAAGCAAGTGGAAATAGTGCCAGTCTTTGTAATCTAAGCTTGCAAGAAGAAAAGTGAGGGCATGAGTGAGAAAAGGACCAGTGGCCATAGTATAAATATTAGTAACTGACTCCTTCATTTGGCTTTACCATTAACAGTAGTATCTCGAACAAAAGAGTGAATACTTTCTAAATTTATTTAGAATGTTATCATACTGGTAAAATTTATTTAAATCTTATTGTTACATTAAAAAATAAATCCATTTCTTAGAGCAATTTATTCATTTTCGCTATATACTTGGAATTTAAAAAGCTCATTTGACTTAATGAGCTCCTGGGCTGTACCAACTGTAAATAATTTAAAACCTTTTAATTATGGAAAATTTCAAACACATACAAAAGGAGAGAATAGTGTAATGAACCCTATGTATCTATCACCCAGTTTCAACTTATCAATATTCTGCTATTCTTACTTCATCTAGTCCCCTTCTTTTTCTGAGTCTTTTATAGCAAATCCCAGGCATCATAACATTTCAGCTGTAAATACTTGGTATGTACTACTAAGAGATAAATGGTTGTGGGGCCTTATTGTTAGCCAGAGATCTGAATTCAGGTGGCAAACCTCCACTGTAACTCTCTTGCTACCCTCCAGTGCTTTATTCTAGCACTGCCAAAAAGTGGGTGTAAATAATAGACTGAATGATTATTCAGCATCTCCTATACAAAATGTATTGCACTTAGTATTGTAAAGACTTCCAAGGCGGATGGATGAGATCCTTGTTCAACTTTTAGTAGAGAAGATAACATTCATAAACAACCAGAGTACAAGGTGTGGAAACCTGTAAGTGCTCAAAGACAGTACTTGAAATTAAACTGTTTAAAAAGCACACAGGGGTCCTGCGGTTATTGGGGTGGCGGACCTGTGGCTAAGGCAATGAAGAGGAGGGGATGGGACAAGGCACCAAGTCAGTGTTGACATTTCAGTTGGATTGTGAAAAGTAATTGGAAATTATTCATGTAGATAAAGAAGAGGGAGAGAGAGGGGGATCTGAGGCCAAAGAGTCAAAACTGGCAAAGACACAAAGATGGACAAAGGCGCCAAGTGTTCAGAGATCAATCCAGTTTGGATGCAGTATTGGAAAAAAGATGTCAGCTAGGCGACAAAAAGCCTAAGGGATTAAAGCTAATACCTTATGTGTATGAAGTATTAGGGAACCATTGAACACCACAGCTCAGAAATATCTCCAAAGACACTCCTTTATCATTCAGCCCTAACGGGTACCTGGGCACTGATTATTTTGTTCAAGCCATTTAAAATCATTTGTGATGCCTGATTTAGGCATTCACTCAGTGTAAATACCACAGCCAGCAGAACAAATCTCCACAGTATACATTAGCATTATGTGGGAAAATTCCACTACACTCTAATACAGAACCCCAGCCCCAAACTGAATAATCCCCACATTTCCCCTCAACATTTTGCAGCCCCAGAGTCAAAGACCTTACTGGTGTGGAAACTGAACATTGCCACAATAGTGATCAATAAATGAACGATCATATTAGATCAAGGCTGCATTATAAAAATGTATCCACGGAGGTGGTCTCCAAATAAAGTAGCAAGACATTTTGGGCGCTACTGCAATTTACATAACTGTTACTATTTGGAATTTTCCAGAATCTAAGGCAATTATTTCCGCGACTGCTAAACAATCGGGATTAGACCCAGCATTCCTTGAGCTTTCTGGGCCTGCATTTCGTGATTAATGCCCTGGGAAGTATCACAGAATACGTCCAATAAAATCAAACAAACCCCTTTAAAGCCGAGGCCCCAGAAAAGTCAGCTTCAAAAAAAGGTGAAGACTATGGCTCCCTCTCCGTCCAACTTTTGCAGGGTTGGAGGTACCACCGTGAACCAAATCTAATGCCGCAGGTGCGGACTCGGTCCCTTCCCACTGCGTCTACCTAAGGCCGCTCAGTCCCTTCCCACCGCGTCTTCCCCCGCCCGTCACCGGCCCCGTACCCTCAGGTTAGCCCGTAGGCCCAGACTCTTGGCTAAGCTCTGCAGGTCACTGTACTTGAGGGAATCCAGCTCCTCCAGGGAGGGGACGGTCATCGCGAGCTGCAATCCAGGAAACCCACGCAGATGGTATAGATCCCCCAAACTCAGCGGCGCGATTCAAAACTCTAAAGCCACCGTAAACGTTGACCAAGCCACTCTTATAGCCAGTTTAAATTAGGAATGCTGCACTTCCATTGGTTAAAAATGTCTAGAAGGCGGGGCTTCCTGGCGCTGACCAATAGGAAGACTGATTCCCCCCTACAGATGTACGTTCTACTCCACCCCTCACCAACGCTTAGGCGCGGAAGGGCCGGCAGAGCCCACCGCTCACGATGTCCAATGAAGACGCGAGATCCGTGCTTGGGGCGGGGCCTGGTGCGTGTTTGAAAGCGAGGCGCCTTGTTGCGGGAAAATGGAGGATAGGCCGGTGATGCGTCACTTGTGCTATGTAAAGCTACGGGAGGATGACACTTGTGAGGGCACTAAGACAACTGACGAACCTACTCTTATGTCTTCCATGGAGTGGGACACTCAGGTGGTGAAGGGGTCCTCTCCGCTCGGCCCCTCAGGGCTGGAGACGGAGGAGCCACCATCCGACACGCAGTTGCCGTGGTGGCTGCAGCCCGAGAGGTGCGCCGTGTTCCAGTGTGCGCAGTGCTACGCCGTGCTTGCTGACTCGGTGCACCTCGCCTGGGACCTGTCGCAGCCTCTCGGGGCCGTGGTCTTCTCCAGTGAGTTGGGACGGCGTCTGGGGAAGGCGGAGGAGGGCGAAGAGGGTGTTCCGGCTTTCTCACGAGTTGTTCGAGAGCCGGATAGGGAAGAAATCTGGATTAAGATCTGGGAATTAAACCTTCGCCAGAGATGGGGGCAACTTTTCTTGATTTTTGTGGCCTCAATGAGTCTCTGTCTGGAGGGGTAAGTTTTTACTCATTCTGACCCGCTTTTTTTTTCTTCCTTAGGAGTCACAAATAACGTGGTTTTGGAAGCTACCTACCTAGTTGGCATTGAAGGGTCACTCAAAGGCAGGTATGTACTGAAAATTCCTAATTGGTCTCTAGTCCCTGACTTAATGATACTGAGGAGCGTGAAATCAACCTGCACAAGGAGAAAACGGTTTCTGTTTTACGCTAGAAGAAAAGTTTATTCCATCCATAAAATGTATTGGGAGTATGCTCCTTTTACCTGTTTGAGTCTTGTACCAACTCGATGCATTAACGAATGGAAAAGTTGTATTTGTGTGTAGATTGTAAGATCTTTCTGAGGACCACGGCTCCCTAGTGGCTTGTGCAAATGAAATGAGGCTAAGAAAAATATGTTTAGTAGAGGAAAAAGGAGAAAATAATCTTTTGGTGTATAGTGAGAATAACTTACTAGGTTAATTTTATTTTATTTTTTAGCTGAGCCATCCTGCCACCTGTTGGCAGCTCAGCGGCAGCTCAGCTCGGGCCAGGAATCGAACCGGCGACCCTGTTGCTCAGAGCTCACACTCTTGAGCAAGCTCTTAACCAACTAAGCCACTTAGCTGGCCTTGAGAATAACTTACTACAAACTACACTCCTTTGTTGGTAACTAGGACTTTTACGTTTGCATTTAACCTGGAGTTTGTAATAAGCAGTGGCAGGACTAATTCTGTTATAACCCAGGAAACGAGAAAAACACAGTTGAATGTTATAATCTCCACTTATCCATGGTTTCGCTTTCTGAGGTTTCAATTACTCTGTGGGCAACTGCAGTCTGAAAATATTAAATGGGAAATTCCAGAAATAATAAGTTTTAAATTGCGCATCATTCAGAATAACTTGTTGAAATCTCACAATGTCCTGCCCTTTTGTCCAATGTATCCATGCTGTACACACCACCTGCTGGTTAGTCACTAGCCATCTGGGTTATCAGATCAGCTGTCCTGTATCAGTGCTGGTGTTCAAGTAACCCTTATTTTACTTAATAATGGCCTCAAAGTGCAAGTGTAGTGATGCTGTCAATTCAGATATGCTAAAGAGAAGCTGTGAAGTGTATATATAGAAAAACATAATATGTATAGGGTTCAGTACTATCTGTGGTTTTAGGCATTCACTGAGGGTCTTGGAAACATATCCCCTGAGGATAAGGGGGTACTACTGTATTGCTTAGTAAACTTTGCATCTTGTATTATGATTTACAAGTGACAACATACTCAGTGAATTTAGTATTACAAGGCTCCCCAGTTTTGAGTGTTGGCTTTAACAATAAGACAATTCATTCGGTCCACAGTTTGGTTCAATTTCAGGGTTATAGGAATCCTTAGTTGCTTTACTCAGTGACCAGGAAGAGATCTCCTGTTCCTCTTTCCCAACTGAAAGACACTTACTCCCTATCCTTTTTGGCGTGTACTCTTCCCACCCAAAGGGAACAGAGAAGAAAGGAGTGGTGGCCTCCTGCTTGGAATTGGATCATTTGGGGCCAGAGGCAGAAGCTCTCTGAATAGCTTAGAGAGCAGGATAATGCATCTAGGCCCGTGCTATCTAAGACTGTAACCACTAGCTATTCAGCGCTTGAAATGTGGCCATTCTGAATTGAGATTGTTGTGACTGTAAAATACATACTGGATTTTGAACACTTGGTACAAAAAAATATTAATAATTAAAAATACTGATTATATGTTGAAATGATATTTTGTTATGTTGAAATACATTAAATACATGAAACACATTAAAACTAATTTCACCTTAATTTTTTTTTTTTTTTTTGATTGGGGCATTGGGGGATGGGAACAGCACTGGGGAATTGGGGGAAGGGGAACAGACAAGCTGCTGTCCTTTTGTTCTTCAGTCTAGTTGTGGAGGATGTTGCTTCACTGGCCCAAGTTGGCTCCATCATTGGGCTCTTCCTGGGCAAGGCAGATCAGTCGCCGGCTTCTGGACGGCCGCTCACGGTGGCTGCTGGCCACTCATGCTGGCTGCTGGCTGCACACGGTAGCCCATGGCAACCCACAGCAGGGGCTGCAGCCTACTCCATCACTGGCGACTCACGGCAGCCCAGCTCCAGGTTGAGCTGTAGTTCAGCATCTTAGCTGTAGAGGGCAGTGTCACTGGTCCTCATATGTGGGATCTGAAACGGCCCTCTGGTGTCCCAAGCCAGCTCTTAAAACGCGCCACTCGGCCGGCCCTCACCTTAACTTTTTTTAACAAGACTTAATGAGAATTTTAAATTTCTTATGTGGCTCACACTATATTCCTATTGAACATTACTGATTTAGATGGTTTATAAAACACTAGAGGGAAAGTCCTGTGTATTTGGATATTTTTGAAATAAGGGGAGCCATGGGACTTGGCAAGAAGAGATTGGGAAAGTCATGATGTATTTTTCTATGTTTTTCAATGCAAAAATGCGTCATGACTTTACCGACGACCCAATATTATCAAGAATTGGCTCATGTGATTATGGAGGATGAGAAGTCCTAAGAGTTGTAGTTGGCAAGGTGGAGACACAGGAGAACCAATGGTTTAATTCTAGTCCAAGTCCACAGGCCTGAGAACCAAGAGAGCCAAAGGTGTAAGTTTCAGTCCAAAAGCCAGCAGGCTCGAAACCCAAGAAGCCCACATTTCAGTTCAAGTCCAAAGGCAGGAGAAAAGACCAGTGCCACAGCTGAAGGTAGTCAGACAAGTGTTCCTTCTTTCAAATAAGAGGATCAGTCTTATGCTCCTTTCAGGTCTCCAGCTGATTAGATGAGGGCCACCCACATTAGTCGGGTGATTGCTTTACTCAGATGTTAATCTCATTCAAAAGTACCCTCACAAACACATAATGTTTGACAAAATAACTGGGAACTTCCTGGCTCAATCAAATGGACACATAAAATTTAACCATTAGTTGTTAACTTGGTGCCCACATGTGTCTGTTAAAGTCATACTTAATCTCCAAATAAAGACATTAACAAGATCATAATTTTGCCCAACATGGTACAACTGTTCTGAATACAACTAAAAATGCACTAACGCCTTCTCTAAAAAAGGTAAAGTCCATAAGTGATGTTTATTTTTCTCCTTGATATAACTTAAATACTATTTATGTAAATTTAACAATACTTAAATACTGTGATATAAAGACAGTACATCTTACGTTACATGATAAGGGAATAAGAGAGGAAAGAAAATAGCGGGAAGAAAACATAAACACACAAACATTTATAACAAATACTCATGACAATTACGGTCCTCAGTTCTATAACTGGTCACATAGTCATAGCTGGTATTTATAACTAACTTCTTCCCCTACCCACTGTGTATTCCCTCTGCCTTCAGCAAGCACTCAACTGGTCATAAGTCTTTACCTGGTGTGGCAATACAAACCTTCATTTGTGAAGGACCTGGGCCCGTTAGCAGACTGATATTCAAGGAAATATTTGTTTTATATTGCATGCATAAGAATAATTTAGGGATTTCTTTACATTTTGCCCTGTGCCATATATTGGTTTCTGAGACATTTATTTGTAGGTACTATGCTTTGTCTGATATAATTAATTCCTACATAGAAGTTAATTCAAATTAATGTAACTATTTCATGGCTTGCCTTTTTGGTTGCATTTACAAAAAATACAGTACTCGTGTGGTATGAGACTTCATTTACCAATAAATTTAGTATATTTTGTTGCTGTTATTTTTTAGTATCCATTGACATGAATCTGTTTCTTTTTAGCCATGTGATTTTTATATGCTAGAATTTTACTGCATAGTATGTTTATACAAATAGTTTTTACCCTTACCAAGCCACTATAAAATTGCTTTTAGTATATGCATGAAGAAACATAGTTTATTTTGTCCTAAAACATTTCTTTGTAATATTTGGATGTTCTTATATACCAGCAAATATGGTAAGTGACTTACCCAAGTGGTATAACTAGAACTATAACCAGCATTTCCTGATTTTTCCATCCAATAATCTTTCAGAGGATGAAGGAAAAGAAAATTGATGGCTTGCTAGGGTAATAGGTTTCCTTTTCTTTCATTTCCATTTTGACTGGGTAAATTTTTTTGTTACTTTTTTGTTATATCTGCAAAATAAAAATCTTGATTTGAATTCTATTAATAAATTGTTTAGTAAGCCAAAGTCAACTTGATTATTTTACTTTAACTAATTTTAGTGATAGATAATTTACATGGTCATGTGTAGTTTTTATGTTGTTTGTTTTTAGCTGAGCCATCCTGCCACCTGTTGGCAGCTTAGCGGCTGCTCAGCTCGGGCCGGGACTCGAATCCCGGGACTCGAATCGCTGTTGCTCAGAGCTCAAATGCTTGAGCGAGCTCTTAACCAACTGAGCCACTCCACCTGCCCCATGTGTGGTTTTTATGTTTGATGTTAATCTTATTAGTCAGTTCTCCTCTTCAAATGTAAATTACTCTTCCCTATTGAAGTAACATTTGTACATCCGTGATTTATTTTGTGGCCAGAATCTACAAGGGTATCTGTAATCTAGGGTGTAATTATATTAAAATCTGAGTTAACCTTTTTTGAATGTGACATTTCTTCATTCTCACTCCTCTTACAGCATAGTTTTAGGAATGCTTCCAGAGACTGGCTATTTTGTATTTGCTCTCTGATTTTCTTCCTTACCCATATCCTGTTTTTTTTCCCCCCAGCATTTACAACCTTTTATTCTGTAGTTCCTGTGGGATTCCCATTGGTTTCCATCTGTATTCTACCCATGCTGCCCTGGCTGCCTTGAGAGGTCACTTCTGCCTCTCTAGTGATAAAATGGTGTGGTGAGTAGACTTAGGTATTCTTTATCAAATAAATTTAAAAGATCTTCCAGAAAAGGCAGAATGTTTTTACCAAAGAAGATGTGAAAGCCAGGCACTGTCTACAAAAAAGGTGGCAGTGGGACCAAAAAACAGTTTCATAACATTATGATCATTTTGTTTATTTTTTAAGTCCTCACAGTAGTGATTTTATTTAGTTGCACATTATGATCATTTTAGATGTCTTATAATCATACCAGGTCTTCATAATCATATCGTGGAATAATTTGGAAGATATTCTTTCATTATAGAAATTTCTGGAAGTAAGCTTTTGCAAAATAATGTTGTAGTAGACACTTTTTGGTTTTGTGCCCCGCCTATCTCCATCCCATAGGGTTGGACCTAGTGGCCATGTTTGTATCATGTGTGATATCACTCTCATGTGATGGGATCGAGAATGGGTACTTGACCTAAGCTAAGCCAATCGGGTTTTCTACCCTAGGAATTTGAAATAAGGACCCAGAGACATTGGTCATTTATAGATGGTACTGGTGAGGAAGCTGGGAAGTGAAAGCTTTAGGTTTAGGGTAGCTATTTTCTACATTATGCATGTAGATAGAGAGAAATCTTGTCTGCAGAAAAAGAAGAATGAAACAGATACACAAAGTAAAAAATAATGACCATGTGGCCTCACAGAGTCTGAAAAAGTACCTTACTGGCTATTCCATCTCATGAATTACTTTGGATATTTCTTTATCTTTCTAATAAATTCACTTTTTATTTAAGCTTTTTTGTTTATTACAATAAACTGAAACATCCATCAAAGTCTTTTCTTGACCATTAAAACTAGCTATTGATGACCTGGTTTGTGCCAGATATTATGCTGCCTCACTGAGGTCATAATATAAGAAAACAGGCTCAGAGAGATAGAGGAACTGAGATTTAAATTCATGTCTTATCTCCAAAGCTCATTTTTTTCTTTCATAAAACATAAAGTTCCTTTTTCTCATTTAATGTGCTTCGATAGTTATTTCTAGCTGAGTTATGGATGGCACAATAAAACTCATAAAGCCCATCCTTTACCACGAGGTTGTTCAATGTGCATTAGGTATACCATTTGTTCTTCAATGCAGATTTTCAAAAAGAAATATATACTTGAGATGTATTGATATTTTACTTTAATTTCTAGCTTCTTCTTACAAAATTTCTATTTAGGATTAAGTTAAAGGGGGGATAAAAGTTATCTCTAAGTGTGTGCTATTAGTAACCTCAAATCTTTTTTAGAAATAGTTGTAATTGTTCCAGCAGAACTGTAATTGAGTTTTTGCCTAGAAGTAAGCTTTTAGTAACCAATTTTTAATATAAATTTAAAAAACATTGTGGGATTCTAAGTAATTTATTAATCTTTAAAATGAGGAGTTGGAACCAAAGGTCAGTATATTCTTTTTAAGTAGAAATTAGGAAAGTATAGTGGTAGCATGAGTCTGGGAAGAGAATAAATCTATATCTGTGTTGGTTGCCAGTCACAGAAAACTTAACAGTGGCTTTAACAACTAAGGGGTGGGGGCAGCTGGCCACTCCAGGAGTCTTCTAGTGGCTCAGCTGTGACAGAAGCATTTCTTGTTTTCTTGGCCTTTTCCTCTTGGATGCAAGATGGCTGCCACAATTATAAACATTATGTCCATAGACAGTAGCATCCTTAACTGGAAGGAAAAGGTTATGGGAAGTAGGAGAACACAGAGAATGGTCTTTTTATCAGCAAAATAATTATTGGCCAGAACTGTCATATGATCTCCTTAATCTGGGAAAGCAAGTATGTGACAATAGGGAATAAGATTACCACAACTGGCTTAGAACAGTTATGGTTCATTTCCTAGGACTGGGCACACAGCTGCCCTAAACAAATACTTGGTTCCGCTAGTAACAAAGAAGTTAGGAATAGCTACTGGATAGGCAACTAACAGTATTTGCCATAATGTGATTTCTTTTCTTCTAACTGCTACAAGATCTACTGGTAGAGTATGAAGCTTATACTCATAATGATTATTCATATGATCCTGGTTTTTGTCTTTAGTTTTTCCTGGGATAATTTTGTCTCTTGTATTCCTGGCTGGCAAGGAGAGTCTTTCTGATTGGTTAGTTGAGAATTTGTTTTTCCTACAAAATACATTATGAACCTTGAAATGGAGATCAGTAAGAAGGCAGTCTTTGCTTGACAGATATTTCTTTAGAGGGCAAGTTTGGTTCATTGATAATCTTAACTGTAGTATGGTACTAATATTTTCTCTCTGTTTTCTAGCTATCTCTTAAAAACAAAAGCCATAGTAAATGCATCTGAGATGGATATTCACAACATGCCTCTACCAGAAAAGGTTGCAGAGGTAAAATTTCATGATTGTTGGGTGTTTCCTTTAATATAGACAACTCCTAATAATTTATACCAATGAACTTGGGGGCAATGAACTGGTGTGATACTTCACCAATCCTTTATACTTGGTTTGACATGCCTTATTGAATTTGTGACACAAAACAAAATGGTAAAACCATGTTGTAAGGTGTAGTTCCGGAGGAGGTAGAAAGCTGTTCAGCTCCTGCATTCCTGTAGTCTCCTCTATGTGCTGGAAATGAACACCATCATCTTTCATAGATTTGTCCTCTTTGCAAGCACCATATTATTTAGATGTCTGGAGAGTTCAGTATTACAATATTATTGACTATATTCCCTATGCTGTACTTTACATACCCTGGCTATTTTGTAAATGCCAATTTGTCCTTTTTATTTTTATTTATTTTTAAATTTTTAAAAAGATTTTTATTGGGGAATTTGGGAGGGGAACAGTGTTGGGGAATTGGGGAAGGGGAACATTGTGTTTTTCCAGGACCCATCAGCTCCAAGTCAAGTTGTTGTCCTTCTATCTTAGTTGTGGAGGGCGCAAGCTCAGCTCCAAGTCCAGTTGCTGCATTCAGTGCAGGTGGGCATTATCCACCATCCCATGCAGGAGTCGAGCCGGAAACCTTGTTGCACACTGAGCCATCCGGTGGCTGCTCAGCTCAAGGTGCCGTGTTCAATCTTAGTTGTAGGTGGTCACAGCCCACCATCCCATGCGGGAGTTGAACTGGCAACCTTGCTGCTAAAAGCATGTGCTCTCACCATCTGAGCCATCCTGCCACCTGTTGGCAGCTCAGTGGCAGTTCAGCTCAGGCACAGCTCACTGGCCCATGTGGGAATCAAACCAGCGACCCTGTTGCTCACAGCTCGTGCTCTTAACCAACTGAGCCGCTCGGCTGGCCCCAATTTATACTTTTTAATCCCTTTAACATTTCTTGTAATACTAGTTTGGTGGTAATGAACTTTAGCTTTTTATTGTCTGGGAGGAACTGACTTTATTTGAAACAGTGTGTGGGATGTTCAAGTCTAAGGATGCTGCCCCAAACAATGGAGATTTTGGTGATTAGTTCAGAGAAGGCTGGTAGTTCCATGAGAGCGAGAAGCTAAACCTTAGTTTATGAAAGAGAATCAGGGAAATACACAGCTAAGAAGAGCTCTCCTGGGTTTGGAAGAAAAAAACACTGCCCTTAAAGACTACCCCTACAAAGGAGTCTGAATTTAATTGGATTCCACTGGGGAACAATTTATGTTCCAGAGCGTTGTCAAAAACATTAGAGCAATCACCCAGCAGTTAGTGGGGACTAACAGCCGGGTGTGATGCTAATAGAGACACACAGCCTACACAGAGATCAGGGAAAGAGAGAAAGAGAGTCCTGTAAAACCACTGCCATTCCAGGGTGACTGCACATGCCCAAGGCTGTGTCCTCCAAGGAGTGACTTCAGAGTCTGCACACTGAGGGAAACAGACATCAATCACATAGTCTAGCCAGCTCACTAAACAAATAAACAAATAACCACAAGAAGGGGTGTGTGTGTCGTGTTTAGTATCCAGAGTTGCTACAATATATTATCTAACCTGCCCTGTGTTCAATAAAAAATTAGGAGACACACAAAGAAAAGTATGACCTACATACAAGACAAAAAGCAGGCATCAGAATCTGCTTTTTAGGTCTGGCCGAGTGGCGCGTTGGTTAAGAGCTGGCTTGGGACACCAGAGGGCCCTGGTTTGGATCCCACATGTGAGGGCCAGTGACACTGCCCTCCACAGCTAAGATGCTGAACAACAGCTCAACCTGGAGCTGGGTTGCCGTGAGTCGCCGGCGATGGCGTAGGCTGCAGCCCCTGCTGCAGTGGGTTACCATGGGCTACCGTGTGTAGCCAGCAGTTGCCATGACAGGCGGTTCAGAAGCCAGCGACTGATCTGCCTTGCCCAGGAAGAGCGCAGTGAAGCGATGTCCTCCACAACTAGACTGAGGAACAAAAGGACAGCAACTTGTCTGTTCCCCTTCCCTGATTCCCCAGCGCTGTTCCCATCCCCCAATTCTCCAATAAAAATCTTTTTTTAAAAATCTACTTTTTAAAGGGCCCAAATAAATGAGCAGATAAAGCCTTTAAAAGCAGCCGTTATATGTCCAAAAAGTAAAGATCATGCTTAAAGAAGTAAAAGAAGGTATGATGACAATGTCTCATTGATAGGTCGCCCGGTAAAGGAACGCGCACAGTCAGGCAAGTTAAGAAAGTTTAAGAAGGTCTATTTTATTAAGAGAGAATCTGTCGGGCTGAGTAAAGATGGCTACAGCCCTAGCTGAGCGTCTAAAGGAGACTGCAGCCCTGAGAGAGGGGGTGAGGAAGGTTACATAGGGGCAGTGCTGACAGGGTATCACTGTTTGAACAGAAAATGTTGACTGCCTGTAATCCTTTTCTGTTATCACAAGTTTGGCTCTGTCTGCAGGTGCAGGCCAACAGACATTTTGTTGTTCTCTTGCAGACATGGCTCTGTCTATAAGTCAAGGTCTCTTGAGACCTAACATCAAGTCAAGGTCTTTAACATTCAGAGACCTAACACTTATCAAATAGAGGTATCCCTGAAGAGAGAAATTATAAAGAACCAAATGAAAATCCTGTGAGTTGAAAAGTACAATAACTGACATGAAAGATTCACTAGAGGGACTAAGCAGATTTGAACTGGCCAAAGAATCAGCAAGCTAGGAGATAGATTGATGAGCTTATGCAATCTAAAGAGCAGAGTAAAAAGAATGAAGAAAACTGAACTGAGCCTGAGAGACCTGTTGGGTACTGGCAAGCATATCTAAATATGCTTTGGTGATGGGAGTACAAAAAGGAGAGGAGAAAGGAGAAAAAATATTCAAGGAAATAATGGCTGAAAACGTGTCAAATTTGATGAGAACCATTAACCGACATATTTGAAACCTCAACAAGCTCCAGTAGGATAAATGCAGAGATCTATACCTCAACACATTGTAGTAAAGATGTTGGAATATAGACAAAGAGAAAAAAATCTTGAATGCAACAAAATGAAAAATGATGATTCATGTCCAAGGGCACCCCAATAAGATTAACAGGCTCTAGAGTTACCTGTTTAAGCAAAATTTCCTGATGAATTTTGAGTATTCTTGGACCATAAAAAGTAGATTTCGTGTACTGTGCCATTTACGTCAGAAATATGACTTATTTTGGTTAACCCTGACTTCACCAGAAGACTGTTATCCACTATCCTGTATTCCTTAAGTTTATGAGTCTAGGTACGTGTCGTGTGCTGAGTTACATCACTAAGTTTGTTCTAGATACAGCTATTCTAAGGTTAAAGAGCTATTGAAAATGATCTAAGTACAACAAACATCTGTTCTAAACCTGACAACCATAGTTACTTTTGAAGACCATTTGCAAAATTTTAAAGAAAGAAAGGCATTTTTTACTGTGAATGAGTTAGGGGGGAAAGAGTTGCGTGCCACTAGAAAGGGAGGGGAGACTAGTCGATGCTTCTTTCTCCAGAAGCCTTCTTCCCCCATTCATGTCTTCCTTCCCAATTTTTGGAGTTTCAACCTGGGGAAAGGGGTAGGAAGGAGGGAGACAGAAGCAGTCATGCTCAGCAATGGCTGGTCTTTTTTCATGTGAAACTTATATCTGAGGGTCTTACTGTCCACTGTGTAGGGTAAACTTTCAGAAATAGAACAAATTTATTTATGAAATGTGTGGAGATATTGCCAGCTCCCAGTCACTAACTTAAAATGGCTTCTAAAACCAGCTTGAGAGTTAAGCTTAAGATGCCCTGACATCTGTATATTTCTCTTCCCAGCTGAAAGAGAAGATAATGTTAACGCATACTCACTTAAATTCACTGATGGAGATTCTGAAGGAAGCGACTCCTGACCAGTCCAAGCCAGAAAACTGACCCAGAACCAAAGCTTGAGCATCCTGAGTCAGGCCTTAACCACTGTCTTCAACAACAGGTGCTATTTGATCATTTCTTGAGAAAGATCAATTGTAAGAATGGATGTGAAGTGTGGTTTATTGGTTTGCCTCTAGGCTGATTTCCCAAATGATTCGTGAAGCTGTTTCTAGAAGAGAAACCAAGGAGACTTCTGTCCAGGTTTCATAGCTATTTGCCTTAAGAACTTAACTTCTTTTCAGTTTCATAATACTTATTTCTGAATACATCTTTAACTGCAAATTTAGGGATTAAGAGGCAATGTCCCATGAATGCTCTGATCTAAAAATGCATGACTGGTCCGAAAATAAAGTTGTACTTAATGTTGACTACTGTGATTCCTACATGGAGCAGTTATATGAATACTGAGAATCATTTTTTTATGTAAAATACAGGTATGTACATATTCTGTAGGTAATATTCAGTAAGTTGGATGATATACAATTTTTCTTTCTCTTTTCATTTGGAAACTGAGCCTAATAAGGTAAGAATGAAAGGAATAATAAAACATCAAACATTCAATGAAATGAAATGCTGTTTTCTCATATTTTGCTTTACATAAAGCCCATATTAATTTAATAAATATTTATAATATGCTACTTGCTGGGGATAAAAGGCAAGCAAAAACAGCCACTCTTCTCACAGAGCTTATAATCTAGTCAGAGATGGACAAATAACCACACAAAGACATGTAAAATTATAACTGTAGTAAAGGGTTTAAAGAAAAGGGATCTGTGGTGCTTGTAGTAGGTAACTGACCTGGTTTGGAGGTCAAGGAAGGCCTCTGAGGAATGAAGTGTCAGTAGTGATCTGAAAGATAAGTAGGAGTTAAGGTGGTAGAGGGAACAGCCTGTGCAAAGGCCCTGAGGCCCTTATAAGGCCTACAAGAGTTATGGTGGCTAAAGACCAGAAGATACAAGGCCTTACGGGACTCCTGAAGGATGTTTTTATCCCAAGAACAATGGGAAGCCCTTGAAGAATTTTAAAGGAGGCCTATGACAGGATGATTTTCTTTTTCAGAACCTCATGAGTATCCTGTGGAGAATGGGTTGGAGGGGCATTAAGCCTACCACTAAAGAGGGGCTGACACTAGCACAATCAAGAGATGATATAATATAGCCAAGCGTGGTGCATAGAGAGGTTAATTTGGTTCAGCTATAGCTAGCTGACTTCTTTTTATAGCAGATTCTTTGCATTTTATACTGCATAAAGGATATTTTCTTCTAAAAATACCTTAAACTGGAGAAAAATCTGATTTGTTTTATGCTTTTCAGTTGCAAAATATGGTTCTGTAAGCAAGGGTGAAACCTCTGGTAACAAACAGTTCAAGAAAATACTATATTGAATCATCCTGGGGTTTTTATTGTATGTGGGTTATGTCTGCCTTAATATATTTCTTTGTCTAAATTTAAAAGCAATTCTTATGTAGCTATTTTCTTTAACCTCTGGATTGCCATTTTGGTAGACTTTCAATAGAAAATTAAATGCTTGAACTTGACATCAAATTAAGCTGGCTGGTTTTAAATAGGTTTCTTTTTCCAAATACAAATTACATGCTCACTCTAGAAAAATATAGATATGGATGTGTGACACAATAAAGGGAGTACACTTCCCTTTCCATTTTTGAGAGGCATAATATAGCATGCTGGGAAGTGAGCAGGCTCTGGAGACAAACTATTTGGATTCAGGTTGTGCCTTATGTACTTATTAGCCATGAACTTGAAGAACTTAAATTTTTCTTGAAAAACAGAGATTAAAAACGAATGAGAGGTATAGCGAGGATTAAAAACGAGTTAATGAATACATCTAATGTAATTAGAGCAGTGCTTATATCAATAGTAAGTACTCAAATACTATTATAACCTTCATGCATGTGGATACACATGAAGACATAAAACAAAGGCAATTATATTTTTAACATTCTGCAACCTGCTTTTCACACAATAAATGTCAAGGACAACATTCTACCTGCCCATATGCAAATTTTTTTTTATTTTTTTTTTTAGCTGAGCCATCCTGCCACCTGTTGGCAGCTCAGCTCAGGCGGGGAATCGAACTCTTGACCCCGTTGCTCAGAGCTCAGACACTTGAGCAAGCTCTTAACCAACTGAGCCACTTGGCCAGCCTAGCTTTGAGCTTCTTAATTAACGGAAGAAACCATGTTATTGTAACCCCAACTTCTAGCATAGTACCTGGAGTGGAGTTTATCAGTGTGTGTTAAATGAAGTCTCATAGACCAAAGAACTATTACATAGTAGTTTCACCACAAAAACCACATAGCTTTTGTCCCTCTCCATTTAACAAGAGCCAATCCCAAAGAAGTTTGTAGCATCTACTTTACTTTCTATTATTAAAAAAAACTCTTTTCCTCTGAATCAAGAAGAGAAGAATCTCTTAATTAGTGTTAAAACCTCTAGTTAATTTAGTCAATATTTGAATATTAAATATAAAAGGGTCTTAAATGCTTTATATATTTCAGATAATAAGGATTCCCTGCAATATTTGTCATTGTGGTACTTAGCTCGGTATTTCCTTAGCAGAAACGTTTATTTGCTTATAGACCTAGCTTAAAGTTGGCCCCAAAGGTAAAAGGGGAATGGCATAAGTTGAAATGGGATGCCTCTTTCTTCAGGTGGTTGCCTGTATCCTTGGACTATACCAGAAGCCACAACTTGGGTGTCAGGAAACATGGGTCCTTCGTCTTTTCATTTTGACATCAGGAGCCTACCTCAGCACTGGTCGTGGATAGGTTCTTTTTCTGATTTCCATAATTTACTGCATTATTAGAAATTACCCATTCCAAGTAACCACACACAGTGAAATTTCAGTGCATTCTCAGTCCATGCTGCTTTATTGCCAAAATATATATATATATAAACACATAACACACGCAGGTGCAGAGTTACCAACTCTTAAAGCAGTTCCTTTTTACATCAAAGAATAAAATCTCTTCTAAAATCCCAAAGATGCATAGATTAAAAAGCAAGCTGCCTTTTGTAATACTTTAAACATTCAGTGAAAGTATTTTTAACATTATCGTGTATACCAATCGTGCAATGGAGTTGCAGAACAGCAACTAAAAACAGTGAGCAACAATTGTACTTGACAGTACAATACACAAAACTATGAAGGGTATTATATAATATGAACCTTTTTAATTACAAGTGATGGGTGATTTTAAGGTAAGCACCAAGGCTATTATTGTTTAAGGACTGATGATAATGTATTGCCAGAATACCTTTCTTATCCCTGGGAGAAAAATATAATCGATGGCATAACATACCATCACCACAGGAGATAATCTTTTGAAAATTGCCTATTCTGATTTAGGATTAGGAGAAATTGTAATGTCTGGTTTTCTAATAATTTTTGATATGCCTTAGTGAAAAAATGGGAAGAGTTTAGAGAAACTGTGTCCTTAAATCTTTATCAGTTTCACTGGTTGGCAGACATGTTATCAATAAGTGGCAAAGAGAAAATTTACATATGGGATGACATCTCACTTCCTGTATTTGAGTGGAGACCAAACACTGCAATGACTGTAAGTGTAATTCAATTCTGAACTAGAAAGTTACCATTACACTTAAACATTCCCAAAGATATCTGAAGTGAAATCCCACAGCAAAGAAGAGGTGGTTAAAATAATTTGGAAAAATTATTTTTCAACCTGGAAAGGGCCTAGTGAAAAATCATCTAGTCTAATCCCTCTTCTATTTAGGCCTCTTTCAGATATAATTAATTCCACTTGTACATTATTATTGTCAAAATTACTTGTAGTTATAAGGGTTATTCCAAAGTCAGGAATCTTCTCAAAAATTTTAAAAATCTATTGTCTTAAGAAAATAAATGGCAAGGTTTTTCTTTTTTTCACAATGGGAAAACTTGCACCTGTTTACCTGGCATCAGAAGCTTTAGGCAATAAACTATGCAGTCTGACCAAATCATCAAGAATAAAACTCTGGCTATTAACAAAAAAATTAATGTAATACAAAAGAGAAACCAAACCACAGATGTGTCTATATTGTCAGGACTATTTCCACAAAATGGGTGGTCTCCTTTGCTGCAAGGATCCTTTACAGCTGGTCAATACCAGTACCATCCACACGAGTTGCCTAGTTATCTGAAAATCCTAGAACACAGGTAGTATGTGCATATTGTTTCTATTCACTTCCAAGATACTAGTTTTGAGATGCAAACTTAAGCCACATTAAGTTGATCAAACTCCATACCTAATTATTTTACATACTCCACACTGATATTCCCTACTTTCCTACCCTTTCTGAAACTCTGCACCTTTCTGATTAGTATAGCCATAGCAGCTTATTCAACATGCTTAGTTTGTGCCTTTTGTATTGTTTTTAAACATGCTTGGGGATTAATGGAGCTGCGCAAGAGGTTAGAGGGTGAGCACTGTTATGCTCTATTCCTGACAGTCTGAATGTCTTGTGGTTCCCCTTGTTTATCTTCTAGCTCCCATTTTCAATGGAAGTAAGGTAACCTTTAATTACAAAATGGAAAGTAATAACCCAAACACTAAAGTCAAGCTACTGGTTTAAGTCTCTATCGCTTCACTATTAGTAAGTGCATATATGTAATTACTAGTAACCACGTAACGCTGGACATTTTCAGTCATGCATTAGAATATTGGTACTCTAAAATCAAAGTCATGGGCCTGCCACTATTGACTGCACTTTCATCCAGGCCCAATTTTAATAAACATGCAGAGTAAACCCCTTGATTCAGAGGAAGGATATATGCAAAGCTTCAACCAAAGATGTGGGTTAATAAAGCGGTTGCTTAGAAATGCAGATAGGTGCTCCACATCTATCACCATGCTGCTTCAGAACAAAGGTACAAAAGTCACGCAAAAAGGTTAAAATTAGGACCACCATTCAGTTATAAAAGGCTGGTCCTTTTGGGTAGAGAAGGATGTAAAAACTCTGGGAAAAGAGGGAATTGAGGGATGCTTCTGGGGCAGTGTTTTCTTGGCTATTTACTGACTGCTACAGCAGAGAGGAGCACAGGTAGGGACTGAAGACGCTTAGGCAGAATGGTCTTTTCTGATTCACATTAATGAGCATCGCCTGTACAGCTCCCTGGGAAAAGGAGTTTATGAACAGCAGAGCTAATACAATGTAAACTCAAAATCAATGCCCTGAAATTTAGCATAGCCCTCTGCTTTTGAAAACTGTTGGCCAAGGGTTCCTTCCAAATATGGTATAATTAATAGCCAAGCAATGTTCTAAATTAACTAGAAGTAATTTGCTTGTACCAGCAGCACCATGAGAATGTAAACTCCTGGAGGCCAAGGGTCTCTTCATATTTTGCATATCACAGGTACACAAAGAGTAAACATGAAACCACAACAATGAAAAGTAATTAACCACAAACTTTGAGACTACAAAAACTTACAGCACATTTTAGCATTTAGAGCTATTAATGTGGCTGTGAAGGGTAATCTTTAATTGTTCTAAGTAACTAAGCTGTTGACATTACAGTAATATGCAGTGGTGTCCTCATGATCGTGCAGATGTCTCAATATTGCTTGGTTATTCCAACGTCTCTAACACCGATGGTGTAGGATATTTAAAGAGGAGCTATAATCAGTTTAATATAGCCTTTTCCCTATCCTTTGGAGTTACCATATAAGAATTAAATATTCAAGAGGGACTGTTTTCTCAGATCTATTCCACTTTTAGTTTGTTTTTTTCCCCCCTCCCCTGGGAAAACAAGGGAACATAGATCCAAACTTTTCAAGGATCTTCAAGGTGCTAAATGGCCAAGATAACATGAAGTCATTCTGGTTCCATTATTATATCCTGATGTGAGCTGTATGATTCCTCAGGTCAAGAAACGAGTTTGCTGGGTTCTTGTTAAAATAAGCAGTCACAGGCCATAGGCCTAGCATATCTACATTAGACAAGGTTTAAAAATCCAACAAACACTCTTTGGCTAGACCCTTCAATCCTTTCGTTTTATACTGTTAAATCCTAACTCCCCTAAACATAGGCATGAGGAAAAGTCAACTATCCAAGTTATCGTTTTGGTTTTTTTAACCTTAAATATACATACACTACAAACTTTTCCTTTTTAAAAATACACCCAGGAAACTAATGGAGAAAGACAAAGCAAAAAGTATGCTATTAGCCTGGTACTAAAAGTAAAATCCCCATGTGATGGCTTCTGTGGGCTGCATTAGTAATTAGTAGTACATTTGTTTCCAGGTTAAGCACTAGAAGTTTCATTCAATGGCTGTTAACTTTTGTTCTAGGAAACAAATAGGGTCTTTAACCTTTAACTTCCACAAAAGTTGCTTTTTCTCACACACTGATATATTCAGATACATTCATAGTTTAAAAGTACCTTTTATATGCTCTTTATCCAGAACATCTTTTTGTGCAACTGTTAATCGCAGAGCCTCACAAATTCAAGTAACAAAGCTTACTCTACTGTATAACCTTGCTAATGCAACTTACTCTACATGCAAAACTGTTATTGCTACTAAAATTCTACCTCTTGAAAATTATTCAATGGCTTTTTTTTTTTGCAACAGGAAATATCCTTTCCTATATACTGTGCTATTTTGCATTCATTACCTTTTCAGAGGTATTTTTAAAAAAATGTTTAAATGCTTTTCAGAAATGGATTCTCACAGGCACTAAACTACTTGAGCCAAGAGTACAACTACTGAGAATACACTATGAGACTCTAAACCTTGGGCCCTGGAAATCTGCTGCCAAAGAGTTTGTCTAAACTTGCTTCTACACACGGGACACACCACATTAAAATAGTTTTGAGTGCCTTTTGAACTTCTTTTGCTTAGTCAGCTCCAAATTCTTTGGAGTGTACTTTCTCTTCTAATAATGGCTCTTGAGCCATTCTCTACTGCTTGGGCCCGCTTCTGCTTCTTTAAAATGTGTTTTTTCTTCTAATAAACTGTCCTTTTCTTCAACTTAAAAAAAAAAAGTTTTACATTTCCTATCATGCTAACTGTAGAACCTGTGTCAATGAATCCTGGACTCCTAATAACAAGATGTAAAAATCACCTCAGAAAACTGCTGTTTCCAAGCTCTAAAGACAGCTTTTAGATGTAGGAATTTCTTTTCTACAGAAAGCTATGTTGATTTCAGAACAAAACAACTTTTATGTCTACAAGGAAAGTTGAAAAAAGTGAAAGCTGTCTTAGGTGGCTTACCATAACCAAGTTAGTTATTACATGACAACCTAGGTAAACTCCATCAGCTACATTCTAAACCCTCATGAAAAGGTCTGGAATCCCATCAATATACAATTCAGCAGATCTGGAAATAGGAAAAGCCTGTGACAAATCTAGGACACTGAACTACTGACCAGTGTTCTCCTGTTAGCATGCTGCAAATAGGAAATATAAATCGTCTGCAGATTACAAAAACACTTAAGCAATTAACACAGCATCTTAGTAAGACATGCAAAATATACTTTCTTGATGCAAAAGGAGTGGGAAAATAATAAACCTTAAAGGGCATATGTGAAAACAGCGTTAAGAACAATCTCACCTCAAACAGAACAAAGCAGAATCACGAAATGGGGCTTCATTTTGATTTGAGGTTTCATAAGACACAAATGCAGCTGGTTTCCAGCTACCTCATGGAAAGCTTAAGTATCCTCAAACACAGTATTTTACATTATGATCCCACATTTCTGTTCATAAATGAGTCTTTTTGGCCTAATCTCCTTTCCCCAGGGAGAATATCACAGATACAAAAATTTATGGAAAAAAAGAAGGTCTGGATTTTCCACTCTTTTTACACTATTGGTTATTATAATAATTCATCCAGAAGTTTAAATTATTACTAAGTTCATGCACTAACTCCTAACATGGCACTACAATATGCTACCAAGCACTGATGCTTACAAAACTATACACATCTCAAAATGGAAGACATTGGTGATTTTGTTGTTCTTAAACAACTTGTAACATTTGTCCACAAGTATTAAAATATACATATATATATATTTCTATTGCACATATCCCGTTTTTAACTTTTTAAAAGAAAAACTGCTAGCTAACATAGATGAGCAAAGGAAAGGAAGTAGGTACAACTACAGAACGAGGCATAGTCCTGCCTAAAATTGTAGCTTTTGCCATCAAGAAGGGGACCAAAATGGACCAGGAAAAAAATGTAGATGTATTAAACACTGGACAAGTACAACTGGAATATACCCATTTTGTTAAATGCCATTTGGTGACAAGATGCAGAAACAACATGAAAGAGCATTAAACGGTGAAATGAAAAAATATAAAGCAACTGGAGAGGCCCAGTCTGATACATATTCAAACAAGTGGGCCGGAGATGGTTCACTGGTGCTGATAGTACAGGGTCCCTATCTCCTGCCAAATGATCCTACCCAAAAAGTTGTCAAACACATGGGGAAGATAGGTAACAGACAACTGAACATCCAAATTCTCCATAATATTGTATTTTCAACGTACCAATGGGACAGACCCATGTTTAAAAGTTCCATTCTGTCTTTAACAATTCCAAAATATTAAAATACTAGAAGATGGCTGGGAATTTAGAGAAAAACTTAAGTTACCTTTATCCAAAGTTACTTCTATGCTTTACCACTTAGTAATAGCCTTCAAAGGAAATTATTTATTTACCTATATGATGTAATTATTTTACTAAAAAGCTTCCTATGCCAATTAAAATTGGTTGACCAATGAAACTAATCAAGAGGGCTCAACATTTCCACTTTTTGGCGATTTCTATTACTCTCAAATTTTGGTAAATCTGAAGTTTTCAGCATTATAGCATGTATGGCCCTGGGAAAACAGTCCCTAAATCACAGATATAATCTAGGATGATTTGTTCTTAATTTCATCTAAGAAGCTTTAAATCCTTTCTCTACTCAAAGACTCATGAAGGTTTCACTCTCATGTAAAGACCTGACAATTCATACAATGGTCCTCTGTTGATTTTTAAGAACAGCTTTAGAACTATAGTCTGTTCATCATATAGTATAAGTTTTAAGGGAAGAGAAGGAAGAGCCTATTTCTTATTGGAACGATTTTTCTTGTTTGAGGTTTTTTTCAGACCCTGAATTTCTTCTAAATCAACACTGATCCAACCACAAGTTTGGGAACACTGCTTCTAAGGCCCGTTTGCTGATGAGAACGTTCCAATTGGAGAAAGTTACCTGAGTCCCAAGCCTATTCAGCCTAACATTACAGCTATCTAGAAAAATAAATCAAACATCCAAGTACCAATCTTGAGTCAAAGGAAAAAAGTTATTTATGATTTTACAAAAAAACAGCTATAGAATGTAAAATGCCATAAAGTCAGGTGGAGCTGCATAAGGCATTTTCACGTCTTTTCTTAGAAGAAGGAAGTTATATGGAAACTTCTCATTTCCCCCCTACATTCCTCCATGTCCAAAGTTGAAGGCAGGTTATACTGTAGGGTCGTACCATTTTCTGAGCAGAAAAACCATACGTGCCACCTTTTTGCCAGCCTAGCAGCACGGAAAACCAAGTCTCAAGAGCTATATAGGACTCCACAAAAAAGAATGAAGTAATTGGTAATACAGCAGCCTCTCATCCTACGGAGGTGAATAGGGTTCCATCATTGGACTCAAAACTTTTGTTTCCTTTTACCAACCTTTCATTAAACCCAAGCATGCATTCATAGGGTTAGTATCTGCACAATGTGGTCCTTAGAAGAACGAAAAAAACATTTAAAAATACCAAATGTCCAAAGACTTTCGAGGAAGAACAACAGCTTCTTTTTCTAGGAGAAAAATCCCTCTTCTCATTCAAAAATGTGGATTTACACATGTAAAAATACGTATTTATACAGAGATTGTGATGGTTTATTCACATATGAAATTAACCTTCAGATAGTTTGTCTTTATGCTTCTTTATCACATCAGAAGTTTTACTGCAAAATTAGATCTTTGTTCTTATCCAGTTAATGTCACAGGATGAGCCAGGATTTATTAATAGACACATATGTAATTTTTATCATCTCTCATTTCAAATTTCAACACATATTTGGAATTTGCTACTGCAGTCTTAACTGTGCTTATCATGATAGTGGCTGAAACTGGAAGACATTAAAAAAAAAAACCTAATGTCATCCATACTTGCTATTTATATATAAGTCTTCTTGTTGGGAACAAAAGGTAAAGAATTCACAAATATCACCATCTAAGCACCTGTTTCAAATTTAACATCAGCCTTCGGCTTGCAAGATAATTTCTTTACAATTAAGCAGATAGCATCAGAAGACACATGTCAGTTGTTTCTTTCTTCCTGGAGAAGTCTGCAGGATGACTGCACCCTAGGAACTTCTCTGAGTTGAATTTGAGAGGTGGAAAAAAATAGACAAGCAGCCTTTTCCAATCCAAATCATGGAGGTAAAGTGTAGAGAAGAGATATCCATATTTCAAGATTAGAGAAAGTGGCCGGATAAACAAAGCAGGATTACTCACTCTAGGAGATGACACAGAAATACCTGGAAATACAAAGTAAATTAAAAACAGGAAAATTAAGACAGGTACTTCTGCATGAGCTTACTTTTAAAAATAGTATTTAACACATATAAAGAAAACAATATTTTGGATTACACATTGTCTAGAAGAAAATGTCCAACCATAATTTGAAATTCAGTATCCTTATCACAAAAGCAGAAGCAGTAGCCAGAAAAAATATATAATACAAAAAAGCTAGATTTATAAAACTTACATAAATGAGATATATACATCAATTTCCTTTTATGTAAATGGAGTAACGTATCCAAGTTTTTACAGCCATAAACTGATTGTACATAAAACATGTACAATCATGTTTTTAAAAACGTGTTTAAAAGCAGTATTGTACTCCAAATTTGATGTCTACATACTTAATATTCAAAACCATACAAAACATCTTACTTTGAAGTATCTTCAACTATGTAAGACAACACTAAACAATAAAAATTTTGTAAAATATAAGTAAAACAATATATATTGTATAATGATCAAATGCAAGCATGTAAAAACATTAGCAGGTCATTGTGAAACTGCAAATATATGAAAAAGTGAACCAGACAAAAAAGGACAAATATTGTATAATTCCACTTACCTGAGGTACCTAGAATAGGCAAATTATTAAAGACAGAAAGTAGAACAGAGGTGACCAGGAGCTGGGGGAGGGGGAAGGGAGAGTTATTGATTAATGGATGCTGAGTTTCTGTTTGGGATGATGAATAACTTCTAGAAATAGATAATATAAAGGTTGCACAACAATGTGAATATACTTAATGGTACCGAATTATACATTTAAAAATGGTTAAAATGATAAATTTATATATTTTACAATAAAAATTTAAAAATCACAGATGAATATCAAAAACTTAAATCACTTTGGCTTACACAAATGGTCAAATGCGATTAACTAGTCTTCCTAACCCTCCATTTTTAGTATGTCACATATATATAAAAAAAAACACGTCAACTCTGAACTGAATTTAAATAACTTCTTTTGGTTGAATATAAGTGTTCTGATTCAAAACTTTGAAAGGCAAATGTAAATTAATTCAGAATAAAACAAGAGAACTACAGAATTTGCATTTATTGCAAAAGCAGCACTGGCGGTTAAGGGAAAAAAACAGATGATCCACAGACAGGCCTTTAGAAACTTATGGGCAAAAGGGTTGTTTCATTATATAAGCTTACTCAGGCTAATTCAAAGCTTGCACCAGCCACTAGGACTGTTAGGCAGTTCAATGGCAAGATAATTGACAGTAACGTTGAGGGGAAAAAACGATACAAGGTAGTTCTTTCCAGAATATATAAACCAAACAAGCATCAAAAAAGCCTTTAAAAAGAGCACCTTTTCTTAGTAAGAAAACTGTCTAGATTCTTTTAAAAACATATTCCTTCATATATAGTAAGTTCATCCCCCCAAAAATCTATATCTTAATATTAGGCAATAATATTGCTAGACTATCATAAGTTTGTATTTTCTTCAAAATACCCAATTTCACACCTCAGACATGACTATTCAATTTTATATACTCTAAACACACACATACGTATCAAACTGTAGTGCCCATTCAAAAACTGAATTAGGTGCCAGCCAAGTGGCTCATCGGTTAAGAGTTGGCTTGGGAGTGCAAGCTCTGAGCAGCAGGGCCACCGGTTCGGATCCCACATGCGGGCCAGTGACGCTGCGCCCTCTACAGCTAAGATGGTGAACAACAGCTCGACCTGGAGCTGGGCTGCTGTGAGTCACCAGCGATGGTGGAGGCTGCAGTGGGCTGCCATAAGCTACTGTGAGCCGCTGGCAGCTGGTGTGAGCTGCCGTCCAATGGCTGGCAACCGATTTGGCAGGCAACCGATCTGCCTCAGCGGGGAAGAGCGCAATGATCACAATACCAACATGGGCCAGTGAAGCGACGTCCTCCACAACTAGACTGAAGAACAAAAGGACAGCAAGTTGTCTGTTCCCCAACACTGTTCCCTCACCCAATTCCCCAATAAAATCTTTTTAAAAAACCCAAAAAAACAAACTGAATTAGTTGCTCAGTATCAAAGCCAAAGTTCTGACCAAAGAATGACCTACAATTCCCCATAAGATCTAAAAGATTGTATCTTTTCTGATCCCAACTCTGTCTCCCCCCATCATGGGGTCCAATGGCAGTGGACTCCTTGCTCTTCCTGGAATGTCAGGCATGCTCCTACCTTACAGCCTTTGTACTGGCTGTTCCCTTTGTGAGAACTCTTCCACCAGGCATCTGCATAGTTAATCCCCTCACCTTTACTCCAATGTTATCTTCTCAATGAGGACTACTTTGAGCCCCTATTTAAGATTATATTGTCCCCCCATCCTACCCACAGACATAGTTCCACCATTCTCCTTTACCCTACTCTACTTTGCCTTTTATCCATAGCAGGTAACACTATCTAACCTACTACATATGGTACTTATTACTATGTTTCTCATTTACTGTCTTGTCTAAAATGTAAGCTCCACTGGGAAGGACTCTGTTTTGTTCACTGATGAATTCCAAGCACCCAGGCTAGGATGTGACCCATGGTAAGCACTTAACTATACACTCTGATCTACAAAACTTACAAGTACAACCCTGTAAACTTGGTACCTTACTAGGCACTTCTGGGTCTCTGACGTCACTTAGTGCTTGTTGATTACACAAAATAACTTTGTATTAGAAAATCTAACTTACTGGGAGGATGAAATGGGAAAACAGGAGTTTCCAATGTAGCACTTGGGCCACAGATCTGAGTCAAATGATTGTGTGATAGCTTCCAAGATGGTCCCCAGTTATTGCTGCCTCCTGGTATTCAAGTTTTTATAGTCCCCTCTAACAAAGCATCAGGGTTGATATATGTGACTATTGTATAATAAGGAGTTTAACTGGCGCTGTCTCTGAAAGGGAGACTAAATCCTTGAAATTTACAGTAAATGAGCCAATGAAATTGAACAACACGTTCCTAAACAACCAATGGGTCAAAGAAGAAATCCCAAGGGAAATTAGAAAATATCTTGAGACAAATGAAAACAAAAACACAAGATACCAAAATTTACGAGATGCAGCGGGAGCAGTGCTTCCTAACAGGGAAATTTACAGTTTTAAATGTTTACATTAAAAAAGACAGATCTCTTATCAACAACCTAACTCTACACCTTAAGTAACTAGAAAAATAGACTAAATGGAAAGCTAGCAAGAAGGAAAAAAAAAATTGGAGCAGAAATAAATAAAATAGAAAAACAAAGAAAATCAACAAAACCAAAAGCTGGTTCTGACAGGGTTGTGGGAACCCCTGACTTTGTAGCTCGTTGGTCAGAAGTTCGGGTGGCCTGGGAATCTTCCAAAGTGCAAATGCATCTAAAGTGAGAGCAGTCTTGTTGGAGACCATGCTCTTTGACTTGTGGGGTCCGCATTAACTCCAGATGGCTAGTGTCAGAATTTTGTCGAAGTACACTAGTTGGTGTCAAAATAGTGACCAACAGAATGAGGAGGAAGTAACAGTGACTTCTGAGGCAAGGTCATAGATGGGGCTGTGGCTTTTGCCTTGTCCTGGGAGAAGCCAGCTGCTGTATTGTGAAGACACTCAAGCAACCCTGGAAGAGGCTGACACTGGAAGGAACTGAGGCTTTCCATTACCAGCATGAATATGCCAGCCATGTGAATGAGCCACCATGGAATTAGATCAGATGACTGCCACCCTAGCCATTATCTTGACTGCAACTTTGTAAGAGACTCCAAGCCAGAAAGCTCCAGCTAAACTGCTCCCTAATTCCAGACCCACATAAGCTGTGAGAGGTAATAAATGTTTACTGTTGTTTTAATCCACAAAACTTTGGGTATTTGGTTATGCATCAATAAATTAAACCAATACACTTTGCTTCCTCTAAGAACAGGAAGAATAATATATTATGGGAGTTAAATATTCCTTTCTTACTTTGCTTTGTAAATATTCAGAACACATTTCACAAAATACAATGGCTATCCCTGTCACTCAAATTTAAGTTATTATTATTTTAAAAAAGTGCTTGTTGGCCAGTTTATACCCTGAGATATGGATAGACTACACTAATGTAAAATTAACTTCTTAGTCACTTATCAAATATTTATTGAATGCTTTCTTTCTTTGAATATTTTGAATTATTTACTTGAAAGGTAACAAATGCACATGATAGGAAAAGGTGAAATAGGGTATACAGTGTTTCTTGCATATCCTTTTAGAGAGAGTCTTTGGTAATGTAAAACATGTATAAGTAGATTTATTTTATCCCCACAAATGAAAGCACACTATGCATCTTGTTCTGCACCTTGCTTTTCCCTTTAATGTACATTAGAGATCATTCCGTATCAGAATTAAAGCTACCTTGTAAGTACAGAAGCACCTAAACTTATTCACATAAGTTCCCTATAGATGGATATTTAGATTGTTACCAATATTGTGCTATACCAATGTCAAGTTTCTATTACTGTGGACCTGCACTTAATTAAGGTTCTACATCCAAACAATAAAGCCTCCACTCTAAAGGCATATGATAAAGACCATCATCTAAAGGGCATTTTGCCCCATCAGTTTTTATTCCTCTTCTTAATATTGAAATATAGAGGGTGCCAAAAAAATGTATACACATTTTAAGAAAGAAAAAAACTATTAAAATTGTAATGCTCAATATACACTGGTAACAAAAGATGAATACAAGTCATGTTTGACTTCTGCAATTACAAGAGGTGCTCAAAGTGGTTACCATTAGCATCCAGACACTTCTGATTATAGTGAACTACTGCTTGAGCAATGTTGACCAAAGTGTCCACTTGTATACATTTTTTTGGCGCGCGCACGCACACACACACACACACACACACACACACACATACAAACACACACGCGCGCGCGCATATATATAGTTGGGAGTTTTTTACTTACCTGTTTTTCAATTTTTTAAAACAATACATATAAAATGTATCATCTTAACCCTTTTTAAGTATTCAGTTCATTGGTATTAAGTACATTCATATTGTTGTGCAACTATCACCACCATCCATCTCCAGAACTCTTTATCTTGCAAAACTGAAACTGTACTCATTAAATAACTCCCAATTTTCTTTCCCTGCAGCCCCTGGAAACCATCATTCTACACTTCACTTTCTCTATGATTTTGACTACTCTAAGTACCTCACACAGGTGGTATACAAGATTTTATTCTTTAAAGCAGTTTTACCTTGAATGATTTTTATATATGATCAACGTATATTACTAAGTAGATGATACAGGTTGAATTGTGTCCTCCCAAATTCATATGTTGAAGTCCTAAGCCCCAGTACCTCAAAATGTGACCTTATCTGAAAACGGTCACTGCACATATAATTAGTTAAGAGGAGGTCATGCTGGAGCAGGGTGGGCCCCTAATCTGACTGGTGTCCTTATAAAAGGGAGAATTTAGGATACAGATGCACACACAGGAGGATACCACGTGAAGAATGGAGTTATGGTGCCACAAGCCAAGGAACTACCAAAGGCTAGAAAAAGGGCCTGAAAGAGATCCTTCACTAGTGCCTTCAGAGGGAGCATGGCCCTGCCAACACCATAACTTTGGATATCTGATCTCCAAAACTGTGAGACAATAAATTTCTCTTACGTCACCTAGTTTGTGGTACTTTGTTATGGCAGCACTAGGAAACTAGTACAGTAGGTATGAACCCTATTTTGCAGATAAGGTATTGTCAATTATGAAAGCATGTATCACCTCTTGCTCTTTGAGCAACAGAACCTACTTCTGTGGTAAATTCAGAAAGCATCAACACTTGGCACAGAATAGACTCACACCTAGGAACATTAAAGGAGTACTTAAAAGATTTAGAAATTAAAGATTAAAATATCAACATTTGTCTATAATTAAAACTTAAGTGAATATATTCTAAAATTTGCCTGGTAACATATTTTATCAGTTGAACTCCTTCATTCTAATTAAATCGGTATTTTTTTTCTTTATCCAATAAAAATTATTGGTTTGGGCAAATGATTAAATTTTTCCTTTTTTATATTCAATACACTGCTTTTGCTGAAAATAAAAGGTTTAGCTTAAATATCAATAGTTTATAGTCACTTGATGTTCATCTTCAGTTGAAGCTAATGATTTATTGTTCCACTTCTCTCTAGCTATTTTCAAGCTGCTTAAACAATATTTGGAAGCATTAGCCACTATTACTCACTTGCCAAAACCTGAGTTCGGAGTTTTGTTTTCTTCTCGAGATGAATATAAAAGTACCTAAAAGTCAAGGAAAATGTTCTTCCTGTGATAAGGAAAAATAAAAAGAATGTTACAGTGAGGATACAGCCCTCACTTATGCTATATGCATTCATGTGCAAAATTATTCAAAAGAATCCCAAGCTAGTCTAAAAAAAATCACTATCAAAAACTATTCAGAAGGAACAATCAGAAAGAAGCTTTCTTTACCTGCACCGGCATTAATTTTATAAAGATGTCAAAACTCTTAAGAGTAGTGGTTCCCAAGTTTTTATGGAACACTGTCCCCTTGATAATGATGCTATGGACTCTCTTCTCCCCCACAAAAGACCTTAGCTTTAGTATAGATGACCACTCCCCTCTGTTCGTAAGGAAGGGAGAAAAAATGTTCCCTTCCTTTCCTCTGCCCAGTATCTTCTTTTTTCTCCTAGATGAAATGAAAACTTACTCCTCACAAAATCAAAAGAAAGGTCTTATTTAGAAGTGCTTCTTTACCTAATATTTTCAGCTCTGCTAAATCCAGGGCCAGCAAAGGAGCATACCAGAAATATTCATTTTATTATGATATGTCATTGGAACTGGACTCGCTAACACGCCAGGTTTAAACGGATTTCACCAATTCAGAATCTAGTAACAGAAACCTTTCCCAGTATTTAACTTAAAACTGAGTGAGGGGTTGTAACAATACAAATTACAAAAAGAGATACCCCATAATGTTAAACAAGAACCAAATACAAATTCCTAACAGTATTACACTTTGCAACCCCACATTACACAAATTACGTTCCAATTATAATTCCCCAAACTCTCATTCTCTCTCTAAAAAATAAGTAAAAACTGTACAGACTTCTTTAATTCTGTAAAACAACAACGGTGAATTCTACCGAGACTTAGTCAGCCAAGATTAATGCACCATTAGGTAATTATCAGGTCGACGATACAAGGACAAAGCTGCTTACTCAGATCTTAAGTTTGAGAGGTGGGACTGGGAACGAATGAATATAGTAAAGGTGGGAAGAGAAACGTGCACCATAAACAGACTCAAATTAAAATCCTGGGGAGCGGGAGGGAAACTGTTACTCCAAATCTCAAGGTCAATGGACCAGGGACACAAAATACTCCGAGCTGCAACAGCCCTGGATTGATACCGGAGCCTCAGGCAAAACAGTGACCACGAAGCCGTGAGGCTAGGAGTATAAATAAATCAATAAAACAAAGATATTCTTCAAAAGATAAACCGAAGGCCGACACATCAGCTGCCAAATATTCACCCGCGTGGGTGCAATCACCGGGAACTACCCGGCAGCCAAAGGCAAGGTACTGAGACGGATGGTGGTGGGTCGAGGGCCAGGTGCTGATAAGACACACCGCGCAAGGTGGGTGCGGCCGTCCTGGGGCAGCTCGAGAGGAAACTCGCATCCGGCTGATGCCCGCGCCAGCTGCGGGCAGGCTCGGCGCGCTCCCGTGCCCCGCTGGGTTGGGCCGCACCACTTCCTGCTCGTCCCCCAGTCACTGGCCTTCTCGGCTTACCTCGCACGAGCCAGCAGAAGCACTTGACCGCCCAGGGCCGACCCACCCCCGGCCCAAAGGCCGGTATGCCACGGAACGCCTCACTCCGCCATCTTTGCTCCTTCCCAAGTCCGCCAACCCTGCGGTGGCCGTTTCCACAAGACAGCCTCTACCGCTTTCGCTGGATATTGGTTGGATAACGAATTGCGCAGGCGCGCTCTGTTTCCGTTGTAGATTGGTTGGAATGTACGTCAATCAATAGCGCTAAGCCCCATTCTTTCCATCCTCTTTTTGTTGGATTGGGTCCCAGGGATGAGGTAATAGGGGAAAATGCTTTTGTAATTCGTTTGTTAGGAATGTAAAATTATTTCCATGTAGAAGCAGTGTCACTTTGTGGTAAAGTAGTCTGGCTAGGCCGCATGACTATTTTAAACCACCGTTAGGTTAAAGTGTACTAATAATTTCATTCTCAGGCCCTGGAGCTTTTTGATTCTGGGCAAATCTAGGCAAACAATATAACTCCAGTTTGTCTCTGACTTTGGCCTATTTCGACTCTTAAAGGGCCCAAATGTTGGACTGCTGTTTACAGCTCTGGTCAATACACGAGAGCAGTTTCGTCACTTTTCTTTGAGGGATCTTCTGCCGAATGTCAACCTGTTACAAGGGACAGTTTTGTTGCTTCCTACATCCAACTGTAGGGCTCTTGAGATCCTCTCTTCAGCGATTGTTCCAGGAGAGGCAGGGAAAGTAATTGGGAACTCCTCTTCCGGGGTTCGACAAGCGGATCCTGGTAGGCGCTATAGGTTCTCAAATACCACTAATGCTGTCATCTGGGCCGCTTCCTAGAAGTACAGATTCCTAAGGCTACACCTCCTCAAGATGCAATTCCCTGTCTTCGGTTGAGGCCAAGGCATCTTATTTCAACAGAAGCTTATGATAAAGGGCATCTATAGGAAAACCTACAGCAAATACTTACTGGTGAGACTTCATACTTTTCCCTTTAAGATCAGAAACAAGGCAACGACACAGGCTCCTTCCATCTCTATTCAACATTGTACTAGAGGGTGGAGCCAGTGCAAAAGGCAAATAAGCAAAAGGCTTCCAGATTGGAACATACAAACTGCCTTTAACAAATGGGATTTGGACCCTAGTAGTCAAGTTGCATGTATTATGAAATTTTACCATGTGGTGGCGCAGCACTATGGAATGTATTCACCCAGCTATGGGATGCATTCTAAGACATTTTGGGGATTGCAATGAAATTTATTAAAGAATAATATAAAAAAAAAACCAACCTGTCTTTATTCGTAGATGACATGATCCTTTGTAGAAAAGATTAAGGAATACACATACAGAAAGAGCAAAAACAAGTACTATAACTTGTATGTTTAGCAAAGTTTTAGGATATAAGAACCATATACAAAAATCAACTGTATTTCTCTATACTAATAACAAAAATGAAATTAAGAAAACAATTGCATTCACAATATCATAAAAAATAATCGAATACTTAGGAAAATTTAATAAAACAAGTCCCACATTTATACACTGAAAACTACAAAATATGCTGAGAGAAATGAAGATCTAAATAAGTGGAGAGACTTTCCATGTTCATGGGTTGTTAGACTCTATTATTAAGATGGCAGTTCTCAAATTGATTAGATTCAATGCAATCCCTAATAAAATCCCAGCACTTTTTTTTTTTTTGGTAGAAACTGACAAGCTGATCCTGAAATGTATATGGAAATACAAAGGACGTTGAATAGCTAAGACAATTTTGAAACACAATAAAACTGGGGTAATTATACTACCTGATTTTAAAATTGACTACAAAACTACAGTAATCAAGACAGTGTAGTACTGTCACAAGGATAGGCATATAGAATCAATGGAACAGAATTAGAGTCCAGAGACAAACCCTTACAATTATGGTCAATTACATTTATGACCAAGATGCCAATATAATTCAATGAGGAAAGGATAGTCTCTTCAATCCAGGATGTTGGCAGGGTCGATTGATATTTAACTTGGTTACTAAAATGTTAAAATACTTCCACACTTACTCAAGAGCAGACATTGTCCCAAACCTGAGTTTCCCTCGCCTGCCTCACTGTATTACTCAGCGTCCTTCCAGACTTATCCTCTATCTGACAACTGAAGGGTTTACTGGCCAGCACAGCAGAGGATCTCCAGGACTCTGCTCCAGCCCTACATGCTTAGTCAGTGCAGCACTGGTAGTAGAATATTTTGAAAACCACCCCCAAATACAGGTATTTTTCTTCCTGGAACCCAGACAACTAGGGAAGAATCAAAACCAAAACCATAAAACAGTGTCAACTGGGATAATACAGACTGTTCCTCATTTATTTCCTCTTAACAACCATCCCGTCATGTTTAAAAATTCTCTAGATATACCTGTGGTTGTTTCTAAAAACAAAAACAAATACAAAAATTTTTATAAAATACTTCTAATATCTACTTGGAGAACCTAGTAAATATATATATATATTATATATTTATATATTTATATAAATATATATATTTATATTTATTTATTTTAAGATTTTATTGGGGAATTGGGGGAGGGGAAATGTTGGGGAATCGGGGAAGGGGAACAGACAAGTTACTGTCCTTTTGTTCTTCAGTCTAGTTGTGGAGGACGTCGCTTCACTGGCCCATGTTGGTATTATCATTGCGCTCTTCCCGGGTGAGGCCGATCAGTTGCCAGTCTTTGGACGGCTGCTCACAGCAGTTCTTGGCAGCTCACGCCAGTGCTGGGCCACTCACGCTGGCTGCCACCCAAACATGGTAGCTTATGGCAGCCCACTGCAGCCAGGGGCTGCAGCCTACGCCGTCGCCAGCGACTCACGGCAGCCCAGCTCCAGGTCGAGCTGTTGTTCACCATCTTAGCTGTAGAGGGCAGTGTCACTGGCCCTCATGTGGGATCCGAACCGGTGCCCTGTTGCTCAGAGCTAGCGTCCCAAGCCAGCTCTTAACCAATGCGCCACTCGGCTGGCCCCCTAGTAATTATATTATTAACAAGCAGGAACTCTAGATCATAGACGTAAGCCTCTGTTGTAATTTAGGAATTCTGCAAAGTCCCTGACAAAAATGATTCAAGATTTTGCTAAGCCTGTGCAGAGACTGCTGAGTGCCCTCAGCATCCTTCTACAGTCTTCATTAGGAAAACTGATCATATTTCCCAGATTTCTCACAGTAAGGTGTGGCCATGTGACTAACAAAGTAAAAAACGGTCATTTGAGATTTTGCCTAGCAACCAACAACCAGGGAGTGCACTTGTTTTGGGGATATCTTGTTCTTCATTTAAAAAGTTATAATTATATAATGCCACCACCTCATGTCCAGGAAGCAACCGAGTAGACCTGCATTTGATAGCACAAACATAAACTTGAGTAAGGGAGGCACTGTTTGTGATTTCAGATTTGAAGAAGGGGATTGAGTTATATAAAATTCTTGTAAAACACATGGACAAAATCAACCAAGTTATATTGTTTTAACCACAAGTATTTATTGATGGATCGGAGAATACAGTTTTAATGGAACAATAAGGCACCACTGTGGATTAAAACAGTTTGCTGTACAGCCAAAAGGAGGAAAAAGCCACATCTTAGGAACTTTAAATATGCAAATCAAGGAACCTTTGAAGTACCTTTCTAACAGATCAGTGTCAGGCAACTCTTCCCTTTTATACAATTCCTATATTATATCATTTGATCACAAAGTCAGACTGATATTTCATCAAGAATTCCTCAGTCGTTTACACAAGAATCATTCAGCCTGGCCACTCCTCTGTTCCTCACTTTTCCTTTTGTAGTATTTTTTTTTTTTTAACAATTCCCTTCTTAATGTATTATGTATACATCTTGGATAGCCTTCCAAAGCAAGGAAACAAGCCAGCAAACAATGAGTCAGAGAAAATCAGCCAGGGGCAGATATAAGGATGAACAGACTCATAATGACAGATGTTAGGATGACAAAAGCCTGATTCAATGAGGTCTATACTAAGCTGACTTAGGCAGAGAAGTTGCTCTGGCTCATGCAAAGGCCTGTAATGCCACCTCAGGTCATGCCACCAGTGCCAGACCCCTTGTTTCTAAAGGATTAGCAGTGGTCTACAAGAGGAGCTAGGAAGTCAATGTAACCAGGCAGCTAATGATACAATACATTCAATACTTTGGACCTGTATTAGGAGCTGACTATGGCTTCCAGCATTAACATTTGCCAAGTGTAAAATTCATAGAGAATTTTGTGTAAAACTTCAAGACACTGGGAACAATCTTTAAATCTCTTGGACTGGGAATGGTTAGGCACTTCTGTAACACTAATCTTTCTACTTGGAAATGTGAAATGAAAAACATTTTAGGGCACAGAACACTGAGGCATAAACCATGCTGCAGAGGTGGGAATACCTGAGGCTTTTAGGGTGCCCAGCCACCTTGTTCAAAAAGCCATGAGAAAGTCCCCAAACATATTGTCAGAGCAACCATTCTGGTGGCAATGGTGTCCCTAAACTAAGCCACCTTGCTGGTATATGGCTATTTTCTGAAAAGTCAACACTGTCCTAACAATTGTGAATAGCCACATCGGTATGTATGTTGAGAATCAGAGGCCAGAGGTAGAGCGACCTGGGCCAACTACCTAAAAGACTTGGCTCTACACCTCTCACCAAGGCCACCACCTTTCAAGGACATCTCCGATCCACAGCCCTTTGATGACAGAGCAGAGTGCAAGGGACCAAGAGATGGTCACATTTTTATGAGAGAAGTGTTGGTTACTGAAAAGCTCCTGGAGAGGCAACGTCCCAGAGACCTATTTAAGAGTAAAGGTAATTTACAACCTGCCAGACCACCGAACTATCCTGCCAAGTCGGAAATACACTGAACAGGCATAGCTTGGGGTGCCAAGTAGAACAGAGAGGATTGAAGCTTAATAAAAAACACAGAGACGAAGACTAAGTGAATAGTGTGTTGGGTGAAGAAGAAGTAGGAAGCAAAGGACATATAAAAAAGGATGGAGAAGCATGCTGAAGCTCAGCTGGAGGGAAGGCAGCCTGCCTACGGTCTACATCCAGGGAAAGAGCTTTGCTGGCTGTTTCTTGGCATGATTCGCTCTCTCACGTTCTCAGACTAGATGGACATGTGGTATTCAGGAGG